ATCATTACACTCGTCACTTTAAGCTAACATGTTAGCTAAAATGTATTAAGTAACTAACAAACACTCTTCAAAGCACTTCACATATATTAACTAATTTAATCCTCATAATAAAACTATGAGGTAACTGCTATTCTCCCAATTTTACAAATGAAACACTAGATCAGAGTCAAGTCAAACTGCCAGCCTGGATTCGGAGGCCGTGCTCTAAACCAAACAGGTGCGCTGCCTCCTGAGCTTAACATGCACAACATTTTCTGTTTCTCTTACTCCTCATCTTAGTAAATGGTACTCTCACTCATCCATGTTGCCTTGGATGTCATTATGGAGTCTTTCTCCACCTCATCCCCTCTATTTAATGTCATCATATCTTACATATATTAGTAGCTAAATTATTCTTCATTGTCCCACTTTTCATATAGGTGGCCACTTTCTTAATTCACGCTTGTAGCATTTCTCTCTTGAACTCCTGCAGCAGCTCTGCTCTCTACTTTAGCATTTGCATTGCAACCAGGGCAATCCTTCTAAGTGAAAAAAATGCATAATTTACTCCATTTTTTAAGTCCCTTTCAGGCTCTTTTTCTTTAAAGATTTTATTTATTTTTAGAGAGGGGAAGGGAGGAAGAGAGGGAGCGAAACATCAATGTGTGATTGCCTCTCACACACCCCCTACTGGGGACCTGGCCTGCAACCCTGGCATGCGCCCGAGACTGGGAACTGAACTGGAGATCCTTTGGTTCGCAGGCCGGCCCTCAATCCACAGAGCCACACCAGCCATGGCAATTTACTCTATTTTTAAGAAAAAATTATTTCTCACAGTATTGAGTCTAAACCTCTTAGCCTGATTTTCAAAGCGCTTCGTGTGTAAACTCAGTCTCTTTTCAGACCAACTTGCTGCCAGTGTCCACTTACATCATACATGCTAACAACATTGAAACATTTCTTTCCAGAAGGTCACATACTGCTTCATGGTACATCCTTTGCCTAAGATTCACCCCACTGCCCTCTGCCTGCCTGGCAAAATTCTATGCCCTCACATTCAACTCTAGTGAAAACCTCTGTGAATTCATTAGTCTGCCTTCTCTGAGCTGCCACACCATCTTCACAATATACCCCACTGTATCAGTTATTTCCACGGATGTGGTGAGGAGCAGACACACTGCACTGAGTAACTGAAGAGCAGGGATAATATCCTTTTTGTAATTTTCCCCAGAACCTAACCTGTAAGCATGGGGTTCAAGAAGGTGGGGTCACTCTGTACATTCACATTTTACATGACTCAACTTTCATAACTTCTCAATGAAACATTATGTGTATCTTTTTATATTACTTTTCCAAACCAAATATTACACTTGGGTCAGTACTCCACTTTTGCTGAATAACACTCTATTGGCTATTTTAAGAACATACCTCCAAATATGAAAACAAACAGAAATCAACTTATTTAACACCAACAAAAAGCAAACCTGACTCTCTTACTCAAAATATCGAAGACATAGCTCTGCCTGCTTAGCAACTTTCTTATTCTCCATTTTAAGGTAGTAACAGCATCCACCTTTCTTTTGGGAAATTCCTCCTTGACTCCTGCAGGCTCATGAGGGGCTGCCAATGAGGATACACAAGACAGCAGGCACAGTCAGTAAGAGCTCCACAATCCCACCACTGGGAAAGAAGTAGGTTCAGAAATGAACTGGCGATCAAAGTCAGAAAATCAGAGTTAATCCCAGGAGACTTTTTTCTGGCAGAACTTGTGGAGAAAACCCTCTCAACTTTTAGGATTAGGGTATGGGGAAGCAGATATGTTTGGAGTTCTGGTCATACATTTTTCCCTGGCTACAGGAAGAAAGTCTATTTGGGAGTCAGGGATGAAAGTACCAAAGAAATAGAAAGGGGCAGTAATGGGGGTAATGGAGAGGGAGGAAGAGATAATGAGGAAGGAAAAGGGAAAAGACAGATGGAGAAGGAAAGAAAGAGACAAAGACAGAGGAAAAGTTCTGATGATATCATATGAACCTATCTATCCAGCTGGGTACATAGATAGTTTTACTCCAGGACACTCCAGTTAGAAAAGTCAATAAATTGCCTCCTTTGCTAAAGCTTGCTTTGATTTTGACTTCTCTAACTTCCAAATGAATGAGTACTGACTAATACAGAGCTCCATCTAATTTTTTCTTTACATTATTACCTTTCCAAGAAAGTACAAACCCATTTAACAGCATTCTGTACATCATTTTATAATTTTAAATTCTGGTTTTCTTTTTAATGAAATTATAGAAGTAATTTAAGAAGGCAGGATAAATTTATCCAATGTGACATTTGGTCAGGGAAAAGATATAAAAGCATTTTATCTATAGTTCCATAGGGCTGTTAGGAATAACCTGTAATTAAGAATCTCAGGGAAAAGAGAAAGATATCCTCAATAGCACTTTCCCTGGTACTTTTCTACCTTGTATTAAAAAGATCCAAGTTAACAGAAGCATCTACTAAACTAACATTCTATTAACACCTATGTTTTCTCCTGAGGTCAATAGTACTATTCACAACTTATGACATCTGGCGGGATCATTATCTGAAGTGATATAGCATCAAATAGTTTACTTATGTACTTAACACACGGTATTTGTATGTATTATTCCCCAATTATTACTATTCCTCTGGAAGTGCAAATTAAAACCACAATGAGAATCTCTACACACTAACAGAATGGTTAAAATATAAATAATGTATATTAAAATGTAAATTAAAGTGGCAAAAATAAAAATTTTAAAAATTGACAACACCAAATTCTAGGGAGTATGTGGAGTAACTAGTTCACACTAGACTGTTGGTGGGAATATAAAATGTTACTCCATTTATAGTTATTCTGTCTATAGGTTTGGTAGTTTTTTTGAAAACAGGCAACTACAATATGACACAGTACTTATATTGCTGGACACTTATCCCAGAGAACTTAAGTCCCCCCCCAAAATTTGCAACTTAAGCCTTAACCCCAGTGTGACTATATTTGGAGACTGTACCTGTACGGAAGAAACCAAGGTTAAATGAGGCCATCTGGGTGAGGCCCTAAACCAATAGGGCCAGTGTCCTTTATAAAAAGAGGAAGTGACACCAAACACCTGTATCTGCTCTTACAGTGAAAAAAGGCAACGTTTGGCCCTAGGGACACAGCAGGAAAGCAGCTGTCCTCAAGCCAGAGGGAGTCCTCACCAGAAACCAAATCTGTCAGGACTTTGATCAGGGACTTTTAGCTTCCACTGTGAAAAAATCAAATTTTCACTGTTCGAGCCACCCAGTCTGTGGTCTTTTGTTATGACAGCCTGAGTGGACTTACACAATTCATGATATCCTCAACCTGTAAACAATACAGATGTCCTTCAACAGGTGACGTTAAACTCTGGTCATCCACATCACATGTGGGAGGCAGAACAATGAATGATCCCCAATGATGTCTAGACACTACTCTGTAGAACCTGTAAATGTATCAGGTTACATGGCGAAGAGGTATTACGGTTGCAGATGGAATTAACCTATTCAAAAACTCTTCTACTTCTATAATCAAAATAAAAATGAAAGTTTATTTAGAAATAAGCAGGAGAAAATAAATACCCTGACTCATTGATTATACAGACAACGAATGGCAGTGCTTTCACATAAAAAAAATTTAGTATTAAATATAGAGAATGAAATAAACCTTCATAACAATAATGCTTATAATGACTGGTAAGGTTTAAAAAGAATTATGTATATAATTATTTAATTCTTCAGGCTCTCATCCTTGGCTGCATTACAAAACACCTACAGAACTTCAAAAATCATCCTCAAAAATATAGATATCTTGGCCCCTTCTAATAAGCTATGACTAAATAAGGGCCAAACCATTTGGATTTTGAAAAAGTTCTACAGGTAATTCTAATGTCCAGATTGAAACCCACTAATACAGGTTGAATCATAGTATCAGTCCACTATAAAAACTTATTGTAGAATACAACTTAAAATTATAATAATAAATAACTGTAATAAAGGCATAAAATGGAATACTGTGTGGTAAACAATGCTAAATATGTATATACACTGACATAGAAAGACATATGTAAGTACATATACAAACAGAAAAACAATACATATTATATAATTCATTTTTGTAAAACAAAATGCACACGCACACATATACAGAGAGAATGGAGTTCATCGTGGTTGGCTGTGGTTATACTTTATGCTGCTCTTTTTGTTTGGCTATATTATTTGATATTTCTGAATGACTCTGTATGACTCAAAAATAAAGCAACTTCACTTTGCTGACAGAAAAGACTAACTTTAAATAATATGTATACTTTATATATATAAACTAAACTTTTATATATATATACTTTATATAATGAACTAAAATATTTTATTTTGAGATAAAACAAGTATGGCAAGACTTTAACAAACAGTAAATTGAGACAAAGGGTATGTGGATAATACCATTTACACAACTTTTCCATAGGTCTGAAGTTATTTAAAATTTAAAAGTTGAAGTAAAATAAATAAAAGAAAATAATTTAGAATTTAGCTCCCCCTTCCTCAAATAATATTTTATTTTATTGTAGGCTGACCATTTGATATGTTAATACACTAATATAATATAAAACATATTTTATGTTTATGATACATAACGCCTTTAAAACATTTTACTTGAGTCAGTACAGGTTAAACCAAATATTACTGAAATAACCAAAATATACATGAAATTACAGAATTATATACACATAAATATACATAAGTATGTGTGTAGACATAAAGAAATATATGTATGTATGTATTTTTTTAAATTTAAGTTCCCCTACTATATACCTTTAGTAACCAACTGCATGTTTCTTTACTGTATTATTTAACTGCATGTCTCTTCATTGTACTATCTAAATAATTTTAGAAAAATTACTTAAGAATAATTTTTCTAATACAAATCCATTCACAAACACAGCAAGCACAAAAACATCAACTCTATAAAATGATCATCTCACCTCATCTAAGTCTTGGATATAAACTGGTTTTTCCTCAAAGCCAATTGGCATTGGCTCACTGTGGGGAATCTTGACTTCTTCATACATCTTGTTATTCTCTCTTTGAATTTCTTCTGGCAAAATCATCTATTAAAGTTAAAATCCAACAACAATTTAAAAAATGCCCTATGATATTCTTTAGTTAGTGAGAGGGAAGGGGGACACTACTGGTTTTACCACATAGCACTAAAAATTAAATTTAGCTCATTTAAAGGAAAGGAAGCCTAAACAAACAAACAAACAAAAACCCTACACACACACAAAGCATTCATGTATCAAGTATCTCATATAACAAATTAACCATATTATGTTGATGAATCTTGAACTATGTATTAATTAGATGGTATTCTGGATGACAAATGTACTTAAGGAGGTAGGAAAATATACAGTAAGTTCAGTCAAAAAGCAGCTCATCTGTTAAAATTCAAACATACAAGCTGCATATGTAATGAATGAGAGAACAAGTATATTTTAAATACCTACTATGTATCAAAAACTTCACATACACTGCATTATTTCATTTCCCCCAGTTTTTTAAAATACAATTTAGCACAGCATAGTCAACTACTACTAAAGTAACGAAGGAAACTGGGAAAATTTCTGTCATTTCCTCACAATAGACGTGCTATCCAAAAGCGATCATACACCAATTTCATACCTTTGCACCAGCAATGAATGCTGATGTTCTCATGGCCTCAGCCTGGGAATCATAAACATGGGGATAACGTATTTTTTCAAAGTCCATGTCCCTCTGCCTGCTCAGAATTGGAACACTTCTAGCATTCAGGAGTGCCTGCTCTCTGCAAAAAGGAAAACAACAGGCAACATCAGAAATTTCTGTCTTGTAATGAAAAGCACACTAAAAAAGATCACTATAATAAATATTTGAGGTAGCTTTTTATTATAAAAGACAGTAAATAAAACTATACAAAAGAAGATATTAGCAATCCTGAAAAGTTCTATGTAATCAATCACACAGGAGTCAACACATTTTTAGGTAACACCAGGTTTATAATTTTGTTTGTCACAGTCCCAAGATGTTTATAAATTCTTTTTTAAACATGGGTTTCAATATTTAAAAGCCAAGTGCAATAAGGCTTTCATTTAATTTTCCTCTTTTCTACTTCTAAATAATAACATGGGAAAAAGTATTCATTACGCTAGAAAAAAATAAAAACTCAAATTCGTGTAGGCTTCATAAATATTTATCTAATGGGATGTGTGCGCAAAGCACCTAAAATAGCTTTCTTATCCCAGAAAATGAGGTTTTCATATAACAAAATTCTATTCTTGTAAGAGAATGTGACTGGAAGAATAATATAGATTATTAAAATTAAACTAAAAAATGATACCAAAATTGATACCAAAAGTAGCAATTACAAAACAAGTATTTTTTCAGCTTCTGGCTAGTATTACCTTTGTATCCGCAATTCCTTAGGATCAAAGCACATAAGTCCTTCTGAAACTTCACCATCTTCTCCAGTCTTTTTCTCCCGTCTAGCATTCTTTTTTTCTTCTCGGCGATATTGTTTTATCAATTGCTTTTCTTGTTCAGACTGAATAGTGACTTGACAACCATAATTGGGTTTAGCATTTTCTCCTAAAATTTTTTTGCAATTGTCTATGAAGTAAATTTAAAACATCATGTTTTATACATTAAACCTTTATTAAAACCATTTCTTCCTCACCAAAACATAAGGTAATGCAATGCTCTAAAAACTCATTTTTTAAAAGCTGGAGCGTTAATTAGTATATTTTAAGGAGTCTGTTAAAGTCACAATATCTAAATGACATTAAACAGTAGCTTAAGAAAAGTCAGCAGATATTTTCTTCCCATAGACTAAATAATTTAATGTTAGAAATTCTTACATGTAACATCAGAAACTAAATATTTGATGTTATAATTTTGAATTATTTATATAATTTCAATAAATATAATTTTTAATACTAATTAGCATTTAGTAAACATAATAATAAAATAAAGATATTCTTTACATATTAAATACTACTATCCTCAATGTAATAGGCTTTACTGTGTTAAGTTATACATATGTGACTACTTATTATACATGAAAGAAAATTTGTTAGCATTAGCTAAGGGTACAGTAAGAAGATGACCAAGGCAAATTAAAAAAAAGGTATGGTCCACCATTTCATGGAAATACAGGTTTAAAAAAAATGGAAAAAGGCCAAACCACTAAGAGGAACCAGGTCAATCAAAGCTCAATGTTTGAAAGCTACAATCTGAATCTGTGGTTTGGTGAACTCAGGAAAATTTTTCTTCCAACAGGATTACCTTCTGTGCTTAATTAAATCTCTCCAAGTAGTAGTATCTTGGCTCACTGTAGCCTTAAAAGAACTGATATGACTGTCTTTGAAAGCAATCCACATCAATACACATTGCTGTATTGAGGACCTACTAGGTTCCAGGAACTGCTACTGGGCTAGGAAGACAATGAAGAATGAGACTTGGTTCATATTCTGAAGTAGCACAGTGCAAGTTATCAAATTCTAAGATCTAATACAGAGCAAGGAAGGAATTAAGCATAGCATTAAGATGGGAAATTAGCTTTCTAAATTCATTTTAAGTCAAATCTTCACAATTTGCAGACATTTATCACTATTTCATTACATGATTTTGAATAAGTCATTTAAACTCTCAATCACATGAAATAAGTCCTCTGTATAGTGACTTTTATAAGTCTCAAAAAGGAAAGCATCTCAAAATTGTAAAATAAGATAATCCCATCTACATTAAGACTACTACATTTTGCTACTGTGAAAAAAAGTGTCTTATATATCTTACTTTCTAAGTAAGTTTTATAAACCTATTACAATGATTGAATTTATAACCTACTCTGCATTAGAAAAATAATGCAGCATACTAACAGTTTCCACATGCACTCTGAATTAAAAGTTATAATGTCAAAAGTTAATATATCAAGAGTTCTTTAAAACATGACTAATGGCATGTACTTACTAAAAATAAATGTTAAAGATCTTGTGGGTGAAACTTAATATTTTTGGTGATACACTAAATGCTACATTAATGTTATTAATATTTAAACAAATGTGATAGTAAAAAAATCCTATTATACACACTTGTGATCATCCAAATAAGGAAATTAAAAGAAGAAAATATGTCTATACCTCAAGAACAGAGCTATAAAGCCACAATCAGAATACAAAGGATATATGTCCTATGAGACTGAACATAATAGGTAATTTAAAAAATCAAGTTGTAGAGCAGGAAATGCTTAAATGTATGGTTTTCCTTGAGGGATTCAGCAAGTGTACAGACTGACAAGTTGAAATGAAATGAATAAGCTTAACAGCAATTTTAACATAAAATTTTAACAAAGGACAATGTAGAAGCTTGGATCCTTTTAGAACATAATTACGATGAATAAAAGTCTTGTTTAATTACTTAAACCACTTTTACTTGGCAGAATGAGGTAGTTTAATTTTTATTTTATAACATAACATGTACTAAACATACTCCTCATTGGTGCTGAAAGTAGAATTCAATTACAACTATCCTCAAATTAACAGTCAGTATGCTGTACCCACCTACTTCTTCCCTACCTTACATTTCCTGCTTATAAGAACAGAGATAAAGTAGGAGTGTATATATCTGGATAAAGAAGATTCAAAGAAAATCAGTATGAAAGCTAGAAAATGCTAGATGGCAAGGATCAACTGCTCTCTAAGACCATGATTTGGGGGCTAAAGAAAAGGATGGAATGTGGTTGTCATATGAAGGTAGCCTAATAAAAAATACAAATGGAATTTGGTATTTTTGAGAGGATTTTGAAGACATTAAAAAAACTGTCTCACAAGATAGAAATGGATGAGAACAGTGAAAAGTAACAAAAATCCAAAGAAATCTTCAAGAGTGCTGCATCCCCCCAAAAATAACTTTTTAAGGGGAATCATGTTTAATGCATGTACAGAAAAAACTCTACTAAAAAAACAAAACAAAGAAACATAAACTATGTGGGTTGTCAGCTTCTTTCCCACAGTGCTTAGAAGAAGTTAAAAGTCTATTTGTTTAAACGCCCCTGATTTTCTATAGTATAATTACTATTCTTCATAGCAACATTAATAATGATCCAGCATAGACTAGAAGAGTAACAAATATTTCAGGGCAGACTGATGGGTTAAAAGGTATGGCTGCTTCTAAAAAGTAGAATAAGTGGAAAGAGGGGAGGGAGAGGGGGAGGCGTGGGTATTGGGCCAGGTGGGGGGAAAACAGAAATGGCAGAAAACTGTACCTGAACAACAATAACAAAATTAATTTAAAAAATTAAAGTTCCTAAATTTTCATTTTTAAAATATAAAATTGTTCAATTTTTAATTGTTCATGTTAGGCCCCTTGTGGTTTTGAAGTAATATAAGGGAAAATTAAAAAAATATCTCTGATATAAAGATGCAAGATCTAAACAAAGTCTTGATTATATGAACCACTTTGGGAGACAGAAGAGGTGGAGAATTTTTTGCATGCCGCCCTTCCCAGGACTTTAAAAAAAAATAGTATAATAAGATTCCTGTAAAAATGTTATACAAACATTAATATAAGGAAACTGAAAAACAACACTAATTCATCATCTACACTGCAGGTGTGTCCAAACTTTTGGCGTCTCTGGGCCACAATGGAAGAAGAAGAATTATCTTGGGCCACGCATTAAATACACAAACACTAACGAAAACTGATGAGCAAAAAAAAGGTTCGTGCATAATTTTCGTGATATCCACCACCACAGATAAGCAGGAAAGTCCTCACACAGTAACTCCAATTAGGTAGCAGCCCTTTCGCCCTTTCAATCATCTTTTAAAATCGCTGAGCAGGTTCCAAGTTTACGATCACTAATATAGAAAATGTACATAACTAAGCACATATCTAAATAATAAAACTTAGTAATAAAACTAAGAAATGTACATATCTAAGTACTAAAACTAAGTAATGTTTTAAGTAATTTTACAATTTTGTATTGGGTTGCATTCATAGCCATCCTGGGCCACATGTTGGCCCCGAGGGTTGTGGGTTGAACCTCCCCTGATTTATAGTTTCCTAAGAGTATGTGAGCTGTACTGATTTTGAAAGTTTTGCCAATAAATTACACTATTAAAAGTTAAGTACACCAGAAACTAATATAATACTGAATGCCAACTGCAACTGAAAAATAAAAAAAAGTTGGATGAATTTTAAAAAGGTAAAATCAAGTATCTCTATATTAACAGAAGGCTGACAAAATGAACGCCAAATTCTTAGAATTTATATCACAAGATTAGATATTTAAACTCATTCCTTTTCACCTTGCAGATACCCATTTTAAATCCCCCTAAACTCCACTGGCTTACTGCAATAAGCAAGGTGGTTTGTAAATCTTCAATACACTTAAAAAAACAAAAGACCTGTAGATACAAAGTGGCTAATTTCAATTCTTCAAAGTTTCTACAAATCACAAAGCAACTCAAGGCAACCATCAGAAATAAAAAGTACGAGATAAAGGAAATCAGTAAGAAATTCTTTGCGTAAATCCAGGCTGTTTTTATAGTTTCCTTTTAGTGCCATAGTCATAAATATAAGGAAAAGGTGGCATAATATAGAAGAAGGATAAATGTTGATGAGTTTGAAGAAGGGCATTTAACTTCTTATGTTCATACACTAAAAAAGAAAGTCCAAACTGTTTTAAGGCTGTCAAAAAACATAAGGATGAAGGTAAGAAATTCAGTTTTTCTATTTATCATTTAAAACCTGACTTTGGCATCACTTGTGCCATAGTAAGTCAAATTATTTTACAATTTTGGCTTCCTACACAACTCTCCCTGATTCTTCTGGATTTTAAAATACATGTAATATATGACAATATAAATGTTCAATTTGCTAAGTGTGGTAATTATACTGAAGTTAAGTGGGAGATTGTTGCTGTTCTTGCATGTATACTGAAGATTTTACCTTGATTTATTAAGATACCTACAACTTCCAGTCATGGTTCAGCAAAATTTTAAATGTAGGAGTATTTGTGTGCATGTGTGCACATGCATGCACGTGTGTAGAGAATTATTTCCAGAAAAGAGGAAAGTGGGAGGGAAAGCAAAACGGTAATGACTGGTAAATCCATCTGAGAGGCATGTTCACTATACAATCCTTGTACTTTTAAACAGGTTTGAACATTTTCAAAATAAATAGTTGGAAAGAAATTATAACACTACTTGGCCCACAGTAACTACTATACATATTCGCTTTAAATTTTTTTTGTCTATTCAAATCACCTACTTAAACAGAATGCCACACTAAAACATAAACAGAATCTTTACCATTCCACCATTTTTTAGGTCACTGATACTGGTTTAATAATCCTCCATATCTAAGATCTACTTTAAAAGGATGGTAAATTATATAATATACCAAATGATAGTAAAAGTATAATTATATTCAAAACATTTGCTAATTAACAAATTTTTCCTTTAAATTAGAAATATCACTATATACTTTCTTACCTTGAAGAGCCTGCAACTTATGATCATTTGAAGAATTAAGAAATCTGTCCACAATTGTAATTCTGTTCTGGAGGAGTTTCTCAATAAGTTCAAGTCCATCAGGTCCCAGCAGTTCAAATAGCTTGTAAGAGAGTGAAAATCAAAATATGTTACTTCAAAACTAACTTTTTCAAGTTATTAACACCCTATTCAACAGAGGTGGGATGCCAAACTAATACAGAAGTGCCCCCAAATTACTTAGATAACAAATAGTTTTACAAAGTAACCTAGGAACAAAAATGTACTTTTCACATTGCTAAGGAGCTTTTGACTTTATAAAGGCTACCTACAACTACATATTTAAAGAGCATGACAATTTTTAAAATTATTTTTATATACAAACCTCTAAATCACAGAACATCAAAATTTTACATGTTTTTTCATGACATAACCAAATAAAATTCTAATATTAATTTGCTTTTTTAACATATTATTTTGTTTTCCCAAATAGAGTACTATTTTTCTTACAGCTTACTACATAACAGTTATCATTTTGGAGTTAAAGAACTGTTAGAATTCTTCAATGAATCACATGCAACAAATTTTAATGCTTAATATTTTATTAAATTTTATTGTGTTATTTTATTAATAATTAATTTTAATGTTTATTAAATCTGAAGTCTAAAACACAGTATTGCAAGTACTTTACGTTACTTTATAAAGTTTCCATGTGTATCCTACCCAACTATGCAGAGCAGTTGCCAAAGACTAAGTTGATTCCAGAGAATCAACTTAGAGAATGAGAATGAGTTTTACTGTTAAGAGACTTTCAATTACAAAACTGTGTGAAATAATTGTTCCAGAAAGTCTTTAAATTTCCTCAATAGTTTTTTTCCTCCTGTCCAGAAATGTTACTCTAATTTTGCATGTGAAAATTTTATATTAACTGAATTGTAACTGTTCTCAGAGATTCCACACAAACAAAATCAGAATTAAAAGTAGAAATTTATATTGTGTATATATGAGACATTAAATATTTAACAAATAATTTATTCTTGCTGCTCATCTCACTGACATTATCTACACACATGGCCACCCTTCTTCCACTGAGCCTCCAGTCGTGGATCAGCACTTCCTTGGGCAGAGCATCATGGGAAAACACTGGGCCCCAATCACTCCCACACTGGCTCACAAACCCAGGCAAGCCAAGAACCTTGGTTATTGCCTCCCCTTTTCATCAAGTATTCAGCTCCTAGAGCAAGGCTGTCACTTGCAGAGAAGCTTTCCATTGTCTCCACCTTTAGCTACAGAGTTTTGCCTCAGAGATCTTGCCTGGGGGAGAACTATGCCACAGAAGAGTAGGAAAATGTCTAAAACAGAAAGCAGATTAGTAGTTGTTTAGGGATGGGGTGGGAGTGGGTTGGGGAATAACTGCTAAAAAATTATAATTTCTTTCTGAGGAGATAAAAATGCTCTAAAACTGACTTTGGTGATGCTTGCACTTATCTGGATTATACAGGGGACAAAAGTCGGTTTCTAGTTGTTTATATGGAAAATAATAACTACTAAATAATGATATAAGAATAAACTCCGTTTCATGTATTCACAACCGTAAACCTACTTTTGGCATACCCTGTACATCGATGAAACTATTTTTTAAATTATGAACTAAAATGACTTAAAATATGAAAAATAAAAGATAACTCAGTGTTGAAAGACAAAGATTAAATATAATTTTCCCAATAAGCATTTTAACTGAGTGTTTTGAATTGCTTGCTGTTAGTCAGACACAAGTGCTGTGCTTAATGTTAAGGGTGATATTAAAGGACCAGCAAACTCAAAATAAATCATTGCAATATATACCTACCCAGTTACTGCATTTTGTCACATATAATGCACTCTTGCATATAATGCGCACCCAAGCTTCAGCCCTGCCCATGTATAATGTGCATCCTTATTTTTCCCTCAAAAATTTGGGCATAAAAGTGCACATTACACATGGTCAAATATGGTACTTCCCCTCACAAACACTCTACACAAACAATAGGAAATGCTTTCTACAAGCAACATGAAACATCCTTTTTATCTAATCAATTCTCAAAGAATGTGTGAATTCTTAAACGGAGACCATTTCTTCCTAAGAAAATAATTTCTCATGGCAAAGTTACCCTTACATGTATTCTTTGCTACTCGAGTTAAACTATAATTCAATGTTCACACATAATAAATTAGAGATTCTAGTTAAAAATTTTGTCCATGACATAATTTTAAGAAATACCAGTATATTTGAAAGATAACTTCTAATGTAACATCACAAACACAAGATCATAGCACAAAGAGCACAGTATTTCTTAAAAATAACACACCTAAGACCTAGCAATGGGAGAAGGAAGCTCGTTTGCTCTGAATAGCAAAATTTCCATTAAGTGCAAGACAAAGAATCCCCAGCAGAATTCTGAGATCAGCTGCCATCAGATTTAAGGCAATCCTAAAATTATGCTTTCCCTAACACTTGCCATTTTTATGCACGTTGAGAACAGGTGCAGCTCTCGTTGGAGATCTGCACTATGCACTCATTTATTTGGCAGTGAGAGTGACTGTCAAGGTGCAGGGTCTACATCATTGCTCTGTGCACTGAGGCAAGTTCCGGGCACTGCTCTCAAACTGAAAACGGGAAGGGAAGTGTTATCTGAGGGTACAGAAACAGACATCAACTACAGAGTTTTAAAGAAAACAAAAAAGAATGCAGGTCACAAACAATAAAAAGGCAAGTTTCATTATCCTGGCTATAAATTAGGGATATGAGATTTAAAGGAGGCATAATAGGAATAGACAGGTAACATCTTTTCCTGCTAGATGATGTTAAAGCCATTATCATCTCTAGATAATTAGGGCCCTCTAAATAAACAAAAGTTCTTAGAATTCTTATTGTTATTATAAATACTTATCCATTAAATTAAATGGATAATTAAGGTAATTCTTCATCAAATTAAAATGAATGGAAATAGTCAAAAAGTTAACCAATAAACATTAGTTTGGAACATGTGCAGAGTAACTTTAAAAGCATTATGTCCTCGTTTCTTACAATACTTTTACAGATGAATGTAGTTTGTGAATCTCTCAGCATCGGTAATCCCACTTTCCACTGTATTCTGAATGAATGTAACTTTTATTCCAATAGGAAAAATGCTATACTGGATGCTATCAAATGAATATAAAATGTAAAGTAATGATAAACATTTAAATAATATAACAGAATGATACTATAAATACTATAAAATGGTTTAATAAAAGAGATATAATGGGCCTGAATAAGAACTATAAAGCTATTCTCAAAGTGGAATACCTAAAGATATGCTGAGGGTTTGTGAAACCACAGAATAAGTAAATAAAAAACATGCTTGGATTTTGGGTTTGCTCAAGTGCTTACATGCAAAACCTTTTAAAGTAAAACACAACTCTGTTCATATTAATGTCCTGTTTGAATCCTACTGCTCGGGTTAGCCAAAAATGCTGAAAAAAGTGTTTAATCACTGTAACAGTCTTTAAAGCAAATAAAATTTCAACAATTATAAAGTTTGTGAGTTGTGTTTTTGTTTCCATCTAGTTAATGTTAAAGAATTTATGGGAAGTCAAAAATAAATGTATCTGGAGTTCCACAAAGACCTCTTTGAGAGGAGAGACCAACCACTCTCCATAGCAAACAGTCAGTGGGCACTTTGAAAAATAGCGGGTGATGCTTCCACAATGCCTTGATGGAAGCAAGGTGCCCTTTTGGATAACAATATGGCTAGGGGGATTATGGGAGTAATTTCAGTATGGAAATCAGCCACTAAAAGTGTTCTTCAAGGACTGGCCGTGCCTTTGTCCTATTCAAAATTTATCAATGATATATAAACCAGAAGACATTAAATCAAATCTGTTAAAGTGTTAATATGGTATCTGAAAGAATCAAGAGCTTAAAATTTCCAAATAGTCTGGTATAATCTGGCCAGACATAAGGAGAAGTAACAGAGATAAATATAAAAAACCCTACAATTGGTTTTAAAAATTCATGTGTACAAGATGGGGAAACCTGGTCTCACAAAGAAATTCCTAAGGAAAATCCTAAAAGGGTAGAGGGTTGGTTATTTGCAGGCTCCATATGAATAAAAAATGCAATGAAGGCCAGGAAAAAACTTCATGTATTAACAGTAATATAGTGTCTCAAACACTTCCTTTGGCATCTCAAAGGATACTACATTGACTGAACCATATGAAAAGTGCTGAGTTTAATTCTAATCTATAATTTTAAGAGGGTTACAGTAAAAAAGTAAAGAGGAGATCATGAAAAACAAACATTTTCAATAGCACATCTATTATCATCTATGATTATCCATTATCACAATGGTACTTAATTCATAGATTTGATACATTCTGGCCCCATCTTCCTTGATCTTCCTCTGTGCATCATTCCACACTGCTAAACTCTCATTATCCTTCTTGAAACACACTTTTCCTTTGCTATCCTGGACACATCTCTTTTTTCATAGGTGTCTACTGCCCTGGCTGCTGCTACCTTCCTGTCTCCTCCTCAGGCTCACTTTGACTATTAAACATTGCTAAGGCTTAATCCTAGGCCTTCTCTTCTTAGTTTCACTCCACACTCTCTCCTTAACTGTTTACATCCAAGTCCTTAGCTTCCATTAGCAAGCATATGCTGAAAAGTCTTAAATATAAACATCCTTCTCAGAACTCTACTCTGAGCTCCATATACCTAATTGCTCAGTTATCATCTCCACTTAGAGGTCTCAATACCTCTCGATTCTGTACATCCAAAACTATCTTATGGGTTTCTACTCTCTTCACTGTTTTCTAAATGGTCTTTATTTCCATGAATAGCACTGTCTTTCTTCCAGTTATACAAGTCAAAAGCTTAAAATACATCTTTAACACCTCCTTACCCCATAGTACCCAACCCCACCCCATCCCACTCCTCATCCAATCCATTATCAAATCCTCTTGTCTCAACTGCTAAACAGATTTCAAGTCTTTCTGCCTATTTTAAGTTCCCAAATCACTCAAAGGGCTTCCTGCACTTTTATCCAAACACACTTAAATCTATTCTTACGTAGCAAGAAGAGTGATTTTTATTAAATGCAA